TCTCTCTCTCTTTCTCCCTTCTTTCTTTGGCCCCTTCCTCTCTTCTTTTTTCCCTTTCATTATCTAACAGAATATAATATAAAATCAAGAACTAAGAGCAAAGGTAGAGAAAATATAGAAAATAAAAACCATGCATCTATAGAACTAAGGAATCCCAAGACTATAGCTGAGTCCTCTGAGGTGAAAATTAAAGAAGGGTAGACATAAAGTAAGGTGGTCCAATAATGGGTTCCCCACATGCAAAAACTACTAGTCAGGACTAGTGTGTGCATGCACACATACACATATGCATACACACATGCGTGCACACACATGCATGCACACACAGCCATTTTGAAAGAGAAAAATAAAGAGCAAGAATGGAAGATAAAGAGTGGCCTTCGATGTCAGAATCGGGAGTAGGGTATCTCCCTAGAAACAGAGGGCACGGGTGTTCATGCAGAGAAAAATGGGGAGGGAAATGGCCTGTGCTTTGTGGACTTGAGGTGGTAGGGAGATGCAGAAGGGCATCTAGTAAGGCTGTGACTTCAGTAGAACATCCAGGCTTGAACTCACTGGTGGTGGCTGGGTTGGCATTGATAAAGAGGACACAGGAACACTCATAGGACAATGTGGCTAAATCTGAGGTAAAAGGAACAAAGGACATTCAAGATAACTTCAAAGGACTAACAGGGGAGGAAGAGGAATTGGGGCAGGGAGTGTTGAGATGCAGCAAGTCCTCACAGGCACTATTACCTGATCTGGCCTAAGTGTGTGCAAATCAGGGTCCATCTACCTCTGTTTGGATTCTTCTAGAAAGAGCTAAGGAAGAGCCTATAATGTTTATGTTCACAGGAATAAGTTGGAGATCTTATTAAGATTCAGATTATGACTAAGCAGATTTGGTGCAAGATGTGAGATTCTGCATTCCCCGTGGTGTAGAACATGGTGGTCTGTGGGTCTTACTTTTCACAGTATTGTGGGAATTCTCAGCAGATGAGCCAGGCCTAAGCCCATTGATGTGAAATCAAATCATCCTTTCTCACCCCCAGGGATTGTCTTCATGCCTGGGACTACCCAGCTGAAAGCCAAGGACATCCTCTACCGACTACAAACGTCTCAAGCAAAAGCCATTGTGACCACAGGGAGCCTCGTCCCAGAGGTGGACTCTGTAGCTTCTGAGTGTCCTACCCTGAAAACCAAGCTGGTGGTGTCTGATCATAGCCATGAAGGGTGGCTCAACTTCCGGTCACTGATTAAGTGAGTTTCTGGTCTGATAAATGTGGTTTCTGAATACAGACTGGGGAGGAGACCCTGTACCCCGAAGCACTGGGAGATCGGTGACTGGTGCAGGAGGCCCACGAGACTCTGTGCCAGCAACTCCCTTCTTACCATGCCACCCCACTGCTGTGAGACCCTGGGCTTCTTCCTTCCCTTCCTTGGCTTCCTTGGCCCTTGGTGCTTTGTAAAATCAGTAAGTTGAACTTCCATGTTTTGTCATTAATATACACTCAGCCCTGAGGCCAAGCAAAGGAGCATTATAAAGTCATAGACAAGTGTGCTGCATATTCCATGCAGATAAGGAACCGTTATACATACATACATATGTGTGTGTGGTGTGTGTATAAACACATATATGAAGAGGTTTAATGAACATAAACTTTCAAGGTGAAACTCCGAAACAACGTAAGCACGGGTGCAGTAGTGCACAACTTTGATCTGAGCATTCAGGAGGCAGGGGCAGGTGGATCTCTGTGAGTTCAAAGTCAGACCCGTCTACATTGCAAGTTCCAGGACAGCCAGGGCTACACAGTGAGATCATTTCTCAAAAACAAACAAGAATAAGAAACTGGATTTCTAATTGCAGTGAGATTGTAGGACAACAGCTTTAGGGGAAAGACTCTCCCTCGCCTGGGTACCTTTGGGGACACCTTGCTTAAGGTAGGACTGGAGAAAGACCCTTCCCCTGCCATGAAACACTCCTGTGAGCATTTGGATGTTTCCCACAATATCCACAGCACAGGCAGGGACCATGTGAGGCTTGCTTCCTTGGAGTAACACCTCCATTTCTAAAGCCATTTGCTTCAACAGTGACAGGAAATGACCTCTCACAAAACCAGAGACTTCGCTGAAAATCATGAAAATGTTTGAGAAATCACTCAGATTCCCCAGAGTCAGGGTGACGCTGTGTCCTACTTAGCAAGGCCAGCTGTGCTGGCGTTTCCTCGGCACTTAGGTTATTTTCAGGAGAAAACAAACAAACAAAAGCCTACACAGCGTGTCTCTTCAATAGGAGGAGACTCAGAAGTATCCAGTGGGAAGATGCCCCGACAACAAGCAGGCTGAAGGGACACCTTGCTCACCTTGCTCACCACCCAGAGCTGCTGGAAGCTTCAAACAGCTTCCCATTCCCACTCTCTTAGGATATGCTGCAGTATAGACAGGGCTATCTGAGTGTTCTGTGATTTCTTCGTCCATGCAGGTTTTTTTTTCCCATTTTTCAACTGAAGACACATCAGTCCATTTGTCCAGTCACCCCCATGGTCAGGCTAATGCCTGCCCGTGGGAACACCAGCTTGCCCTCCAGCCTTGAAGATTTCCAGGTTCCCCACTCAATGCTTCCCGATGCTTCGTCAGAAGATGGAAAGCAACAGTGTGATTTTTCTTCTTTTGCCTCAACTCTCTTGGCAGATCAGTACCCCCAGATCACACCTGTGTTAAGTCAAAGATGAAGGATCCTATGGCCATCTTCTTCACCAGTGGGACCACAGGTTTCCCCAAAATGGCAAAGCACAACCAGGGACTTGCCTTCCGGTCCTGTGTCCCTTCATGGTAGGGAAAGAGTACCTGTTTAAAAGCTGACTTCCCTTGGTGTGGCGGGGAAGGGCTTGGACCTGCCTCGGCTCTGTGTGCCCAGGCTCTGCTGACTCCCCATGGGAGACCTTGGTTTGGAGAATGTGGGCATGGGGGTGGCTTGGGAGGGAGGGTAAGGATGTAGGAGGAGGAAGGAGGTGGGATCTGTGGGTGGTATGTAGGGTGAGTAGAAAATTTCTTAATAAAAAATAATAATAAAGGCTGGCTTCCAGCTCTAAGGCAAGGGGTGTGTGCACATGGGCATGTTGAGGAGATGACACTCTGAATGGAAGTGTCTCCACCTTGTTCTCCACTTCAACCTCTGAGGGTGTGAGAGACGGAAATCTGGGATCCTGAATGCTAGCTGACACAGACCCAGGGTGACACAGGAGGCCCCTTTGGATTCTGTTGAGCACTCTCACAAGAGGACATTCTGTAAGCCACACAAGGAACAAGTCACTGTGTCTCTGACAGTGGGTGAAAGACACCTGTGCTGAGAGCCCCCTCCCTTCTCTATGATGGGAAAAACAGACGTGGCATTTCTCACTAACGGAGGACAAGGAACTGAGTTCCAACAGGTGACTAGCTCTGACTTTGAACAAAAATATGTGGAGCTAAGCCTTGGTGAATCATCTCAGTAATCTTAAGCCAATGGTCTGCAACTCTTACCTGCTTCCTCTCCAAGTGGTAATATTCAGAACAGACTGAGCACTGTTCTCTAAGTTACTATCCAGGACAGGAATAAGAGAAGGCAGATAAGCAGGAGGCCCTCCTCTTCAGCTTCTGGTCAGTGCCCTTTGACTAATCATTGCAAATGATGAAAAGCCCACACCAAACACTTCAAGCCAAAGAGTAAATAGGGGATGCATTGGCTCATGACCAAGAGCAGTCAAACAGCGCTGGTTAGATCAGGTTTTCATTAACCCACACTGCCACTGTTTCTGCTACAGAGATGCTTCCAGAGTCACCAAGTGTTATATCAGTGACTGATTCAGACCCAGTGAGACAGCAGAAGACTCCACCCCAGCTTTTCTAGCAAAGGTCTGAGGGGTCATTAGCAGGGAATTAGTTTCAGTGACATGTGTCCCAGAAATACAAAGTGGTGGGACACCTTTGGTGTCTGGAGCCCCCCCACAAATCTCATGAAATGAGTGAGAGAGGTGATTCCTTAGCTGAAAATGCTCCCCGGCCCTTGCCAACACCCCCCCCCCATGTTGGCAAAGCTGAGGCCACTGTCTTTTGGAGTCAGCAGGAAATTGTTGAACCTGAAGACATCTGACATCTTGTGGTGCATGTCAGACCCAGGATGGATTCTGGCTACCGTGGGGGCCATGATCGAACCATGGGCATCAGGGGCTACAATATTCATCCACCACCTCCCTCAGTTCGACCCCAAAGTCATTGTAGAGGTAAGAAGACCAACTTCCCAGAATCAAAACCTTCTCGGAGGACATGCGTGTTTCCCAAAGCTGGACCCAGCTGAGAAAGGCTCAGGTAACCCCAAGAAGGCTGTGTAATTAAAGTATTCCTGGTGTTGAGCATCTCGCCATGTGGGGACAGTGAATCACAGTCACGGTATCAAGATCACAATGTGAGATGGAATAAAATGCATCTTTCTTAGCTATTCTTTGGATCTATAGATCAGACTTTGTGGGTAGGAAACCCACAATACGTATGTTGAGAAATGGAAGTAAGTAGGATAAGTCCAAATCTCTGGGCCCTGATCTGCAAGAGCCAAGTAGCAGGTGTGCAGGTGGGGTGGGGGTGTGACTCATTACAACAAAGTATCAAAATTAAGCCCTTGGAATAGGACAAGACTAGCGTCTTACCTCACCTTTGATACTGATTAGCATGTTAGTCACCAGTCACAGCCTTCACTTCCTTTCAAGAAGGCTTTTGAAATATACTTTCATTTATTGTCTGGTAATATCACACATGTATAGAATGTATTTTAGTTAAATCCATCCCCCACTGCCTCCCCTCCAATTCCTTCCATGCCCTTCACCATTTCTCTCTCAACCATGTGTACAATTTTTTTAACCCATCCAGTCCAATTAGTACTGCCAGTGTATACATGGATGTAGGGTCATCAATACAGAGACTCACAATTCATCAGAGTACAGAGAATAAAATACTGTGATTTTTTTTATTCAGCCCTAATTGGAAGAGCTCTCTCTCTCTCTCTCTCTCTCTCTCTCTCTCTCTCTCTCTCTCTCTCTCTCTCTCTCTCTGTGTGTGTGTGTGTGTGTGTGTGTAGAGGGAGGGAGGGAGAGAGAGAGCGAGAGAACTGTTTGTCTAGCTCCTGAAATTTTTTTCCCATGAATCCTTCTGTCCCGTTTCATGAATATCCCCACCTTTCTGTTTGCAGACACTGTGTTCGTTTCATAATGCCCTACTAAATGCCATCTCCTCCATAAGCTCCTTGGAGCACCCACCCACCCAATCTATTGCCCTCTGCTGGGTACTTGACAGAACACCACATCTCTCTTTTGACATCTACCAACTTCCGCCTTCTCATGCACATCCTTTTTATCTCCTCTGTTGGTGTCTACCCTTCATACTATCTAACATACTCATTCACTCTTTCTGCATTTGCCCCCCACAGTACCTGACACATGCCATGGATGAAATCCATGCCTAGTGCACATGTATTTAAGGAATTAACACAAAAATAAGCAGGTTTCCTGGAAGAGAGAGCATAACCGAAGGGCTAATAATTGGCTGACGTCTTTAATCTTAGCTACAAAAATAAAATTCCTTATCTCTCCATTCCCAGGTACTGTTCAAATACCCCATCACTCAATGCCTCGCTGCGCCAGCCGTGTACAGAATGATTCTTCAGCAGAAAATCACCAAGTACGTAGCACTGACTGACTGCTAACAGCAATCTTTGGTTAGGATTTGAGGTATCTGATGTGCCATGGTTTGTTTTTCCTTGGTGTGTGTGTGTGTGTGTGTGTGTGTGTGTGTGTGTGTGTGTGTGTGTGTGTGTGTAGTAATAATTATTAGTCTAATTAGTTAGTTCAAGGCCTGACCCTATAACCTTATACCTTTGAGGGTTCATTCATTTGTGTGTGGGGGGGGGTGTTATTGTTTATAACAAAAACAAGCATACAAAATTGCCCAAGATGAAAATTTACAGGTTAATGAACTATTAGAAATGCCCATGCAATCACTCCCCCAAGTCAGAAAAATCAAATTTTGTCAATGCTTCAGAGACTTCTACGTCCCTCCTTGTGACTCCTAAGTAAAATCACCTCCAGTTTTCTTGGTACCCAGTCCTCTCTTTTCCTTGATAGCAGCTACGGAAAATCCTGAGAAAATGGGTCTGCTTTTCATGGTTTTCAACTTTTATTTATGCAATTTAATTCTATGCCATCTGGCTTCCTTTTCCATCATGTATCTGTGACATATTCATGTTGTGTGCTTTTATGGTTAGTTTATCTTTATTGCTATATAATACCCTGCTTTACGAGAGTATCATGATCTCTTTGACCACCCTGCATTAATGGAGATGTGGTTAGCCTCTGCCTGGGCTATTGGTGGCCAGTGATGCGCTTAACTGTGGTACTGGCAATCCAGGTGAAGATAAATAGGCTTTCTAATGTTTTTCTAGGGCACAGGTACCTAGTTCATGCTAGACAGCTTCAATATTTTCCAAAGGATTAAATCATAGTGTGCTCTCTGTCAAGACTGAAGGATTCCCGTTGTTCCACATCATTTTCACCACCTGCTTCTATCAGTCCATGTGTGTCAACCCAATGGATGTGTAGTGCTGTCTTATTGGAGTTTGACTTTTCACTTCCTGGTGTTTGCGGGTTGGTCTTCAGCTAATTTGAAATCTTCCTGATTATGGACATGTACAGATATTCTAGAAACTCTGAAGCCACTACCTCCCTAACCGCAACAGATGCATAGCCTCCAAACTGAGCCATCTGAATCAAACTTCAGTCATTTCCCTCCCATTTTCTTCAGAGAATCCAATTATTATTTTATGGGGTCCCTCTAGAGACATTCTATGAGGGAAATGAGAGAGAGATTGTATCTCATGAGGTACTAATGTAAATGCTCACCTAAAGCTCTACCCTGAAATTCCTCCTTTCTGGATTTCTGATCTCTCTCAAATTTTGTTTTCTCTTACCTTTCTGTATTTTCCTACAAATGGCCCAACCTGTCTCAAGTCTTACCAACCCTGAATTTCAGCCTCCACACAGAAATAGAAAAGGCCCTCAGTTAGCACAGTACATCCCTCAATGAGGCAGTATAGTTCTGTTACACCCTAGTGTCCCTTGGGGTCTCGTCTCTCGCTGTTTATGGTCTAAAGTTGTCCCTCTTGGACCCATAGGAAGATTCTCTAGGGTGAGCTCTTCTGAGTACTCTTGTCTCCTTGTTGCATCAGCATCCAAACTTCACCAAAACATCATTGATCTGACCCAAAATATTCAGGACTACCCACTCACCCCCTGCCAGAAACATTAATAGGGACTTACAGAAAGGGAGCGGCATCCATCTGGCCATGGCCATCAGTCAAACGACAGAAGGTAGATTTAAAAAGTGAGGAAGCAGACAGGGGAATGACCTGACTGACAGAGCTTTGAGCTCTGGATGCTTATGTTCCCAGCAGAGCATCCGAGGCCTGACGTATTTGCCTTCCCCTAAGTCTCAGGTTCCCCAGCCTGGAGCACTGTACCACCGGCGGAGAGAGCCTGCTGCCTGAGGAGTACAAGCAATGGGAGCAAAGGACAGGCATTCTCATCCATGAGATCTATGGACAGTCAGAGACGGTGGGTGAACAGGCCCCTTCCGCACCCCTGGGATTATCGGCTCGTGACCCAGTGCGTGCTGAAGTCTGCTCAAAGTCAATGGAGAGCTTTGGGGTTCAAGGGTAATCTATCCCAAATTGGCAGGGAAAAAAAACGTACAGCTCATCAGCTCACTGAGAAGCCAATGAACTGGAAGCTGTTGGGCAAAACTTAAAGAGATACCATGACACTATGCCTGGGATTGTTAGCCCAGGAGAGCCACATGGTGGGGGGCGGGGTGCAGGGGGAGTTGGAAAGAATGATCTCTTCTGCAATTCGGAGACCATCAGCAGATCCTGCCAGTTCTGCCCTCATATCCTAGGGCAGCTATACATACCAAGATGTGGTTGGGAGCTGGCTTTCAAAATTCATGTCTGGGTGTTGAGGAGGACAATGCAGGTGAAATTATGGGATTGTAGCGGTAGTAGATGAGGAAGCAAAGCCTTTCTGTATATGCCATATGCAAATATGCACACACTCCTACACACACACACACACACACACACACACACACACACACACACACATACTTAATGATATCCCAGATTGTGGCTGAGCTAGAAGATAGTCAGGGCATTTACACTATCATGCACCTTGTGAACCTCAAGGACTTCATTAGTCCGTCATTCCAACACATTTACCATTAATGACTAATGGTCGGATGGAGCCGCTTCCCAGGACCCCTTGAGCTAATAAAGTAATGTCTGCTATTTCCAGCCCCATAAAATATTGAACTGTACAAAAGTACTGTATGGAGAAAATCCCCCAGGAAAAGAATGCTCTATGGACTTGTCTTAGGATCTGATTAATAATACTTATTAATAGTCTTTCACTGGGTGTTTGGTATGTACCTTATACTGTGTAAAAAGTTCCCCAATAGAATCATATGTACTGTGTATGCCCATAGCCTGTCACTTAAGCAGCTAAGCAGAAGATCACAAGTTCAAAGCCAGTTGGAACTCTCTACATAGTGAGTTCCAAGCCCATGTAGGCACAATAGAGAGACCTTATCTCAAAACACCAAGAAAAGGGGCGGGGGAGTTGCTCCCATACATTTTCAAGCTCAGTAAGAAATAAGTGTGTCCATTGTCCCCTTTTGATAGAGGAGGAGACCAGAGTACTTACTGTAAAGCATTCAAATTAGAGAGAACGACAAAGAATTACATGGAGAAATACAATTCACTGGGAAGAGAGATGAGGTCAAGGGATACTGGCAGAGGGAATGGCATAAAAATCTAAACCATCCCAACCTATCCCCAACTTGCCGAAGCAGGATTCCCATCACTATCCAATAACTAGGTGGATATGTATGGTCAACAGACTCAGAGCCTTCCTGTGCAAACTGACACATCCCTGGTAGGTATTCCACACTCCACCTGATGTGCCACAGCCTCAGGCTTACCCACTTTGTCCCTATCTTTCCCTCAATCACTAGAGTCTATCAACCCTACCTGTAGTGCAGATCTAGCCCATGCTGGGAATAACAAGTGTCCATTGAATAGAGTTGAGTCAATGTCTATATCAAAGCCAATAGCCTAAATTCTATCCTCAATAAATGGCCTCTATTAGAGGCCATGTATGTGACCCTGCTTTGGTCAACCTTGGTCTTCTTTTGTGAACAGGGGATAAGCTGTGCTGTCTCGCGGGAAATGAAGGTCAAGAGAGGCTCCATTGGGAAGGCCATATTACCCTTCGACATCCAGGTTTGATCTTTGGGTGCTGATGAAGAGTACTTCATAGCTCAGCTGGGGTTGGAGCCATGTGTGACAGCAGGGAGTAGAACCAGCCCCACCCCCACCCTAGTCACCCTGCTCCCCCCTGATTTCCTGTGGAAGCTTCAGGTGAGAAGTACATTACTGTGTATACTGATGCAGCCTACCTGCATACATCACATGTGGTGCGTGAGGAAAAATAATAAATAGTGCCCTCGGGTGACACTGTCTTCCAGTTTGAAGACACAGCTGTAATATCTAGATTTCCACGAAACAAAGCGCCCCCGGTTTCAGGCGCCATATTTGCTGATTTCAAAGAATTTGACAGTTTTCTTCTCTTTTCTGCCAGTTCCTTCATGAGTCGTTCCCATTTATCCTGTCAGTGTCTTGTGGTGAGCCAATCAGTAGTACACAGGGCTAAGCGAGTCCCTAACTGTGGGGACTTCTCGTTCCAGATTATTGACGAGAAAGGCAACATCCTCCCGCCCAACACTGAAGGATACCTTGGCATCAGGATCAAGCCCACCAGGCCTCTAGGCCTCTTTGTGGAATATGAGGTAAAGGCATCCCACCCTACCCTGCCTCAAGGATGCATAGAGGTCATTCTGCACCCTGAGACTTCTTCAAGTCATCTTCTCTTCACTCCAACCTAACGACACTCTAACCATTCTAACTACATGCTAAGCTCTCAGTACATTGTCACAGACCTTTCCGTCCTAGCCCACTTGGGATTTAAAAGCTAAATGATGAGGAAAGAGGAAGATGGCTCCCAGGATCACGAGAGTGGGCCTCCAATAAGTCCATGTTGTCCCTTTGCTGAGGGAAAGCTGGAAGTGTTGCGTGTCCTAATGAACAGAGCAGGCCTAGGGTCTGCATTTTTTAGGTGTCATACCCTAAATGAGAAATTGGGGACTGCAGAAAGCTGCATTGAGCCATAAGAAAACCTGCTCAAACAAAACTCTGACCTGATCAAACAAACTCTGGCCTTCCTGGTTAGAAGTGATCCCCAAGAGGAAATTCCTAGGCTCCAAGACAGACCATGGAAGGGTGACCAGACTGAAACTAACCTCAGACTCCACGTATTTTCTCCAAACATTCTTCACCTGATGCTATATCTCCACACCACAGCCTCAAGGAGCATTCCCATGGGTGTTTTTATAAATCCCAAGTTATTCCAATAGGCAATTTTGAGAATCACACATACGTGCACATCCATGATTCCCAAACCTACATATATATCATATAATATGTGTGTGTGCTTTAATTTTTCTTTTCTCCCTGTTAGAGTTTTCTTTCTGAGAATTAAGGCTAAGAGTCACGTACTTGTTTTGGTAACTCTTACATAAAGCGGTGCCCCTTGAAGGCCATGGTTAAAGACTCCTCCATTGAGACCTGGTTTGTTGTTTGTTTGTTTGTTTGTTTGTTTTGAAGTAAAATAGACTATAAAATTCACTCCTCCATTTTCAAGGCACACATCAATGGCATTAAAAGAATTTGTGACAGGATGAAACTCTCACATCATCTGTCTATAGAAAATCTACACCCAAAACAGAAACTGTGCTCATAGCACAGGAGCACCCACAGCCTGCCCCTCACCCCCAAGATCTGGTTACCTCTCAGCCCCTTTCCAACTTTGTGAATTTGCCTGTTTCAGAAAATCCGTATCTGTGAGATCATGTGACACTGCTTGCTTCACTGACCTTGAGTTTGGAAGCGTTTTCTGCCGTTACGTATTAAACACCACACCACCCCTGCCCTCCTTCCGAGGCTCTGGAAGCACACCTTTGGTGGCTTTGATGTGTCCTACAAGTCCCTTAGGCTCTGTTCACTTTGCTACCTTATTTTTTTTTCTCTTGGGAGTTTTTTGTTTTGTTTTGTTTTGTTTTCAGTTGCTGTATTTTCAGTTCCCTGGCTCTTTCTGCCTATTTTAATATGCTTTTAAACCTTCTGGTGAATTTTTTAATTTAGTTGTTTTTCCATATTTGATCTTTACCCATTATATGTGTGTTGAGTTATGACCTTGTAGCTCACACATACATTCAGTTATTATGTGTCGATGAAAAAAAAAAACCTGTAGATGAGTTGTTGTCAGGGGATCGGAACTGGTGAGGGGAGAAAGATGGGGCAGAGGGAGGTGAGCGTACTTACAAAAGCCTTGTGAAGGGTCTCCTAGTGATGGCGCTGCTCTATAGGTTGACTGCTGTGTGGGATGAGGAATCCATGCCTGTGAGCAAATTGCTACACACACACACACACACACACACACACACACACACACACAC